TCTAGGAAGGAGGCAATGGCAAACCACTTCCGAAACACCTTGCCTTGAAAACTGCAGGGACGCGTCCAGACAGTCGCCGCAGAATCGGTAACGACTGAGTGCGGATAAAAAAAAAATCGATCCAATGAAACTCTGGGCAGCAGCCATAAAATATAAAACATCAACAGCTGTAATATACACACACACCCCAGGCTGAAGTTCCTCATTAATATCTTAGGACACCCATGCCATACATCTATGCTGGAGCTTCAGAACTAACAGCCTGGCTCCAATGCCTGAGGGAAGAGTCAGTAAGGTTGGGGTCATCTGTATCTCTGGGGGGAAGCTGCTCCATATGGCAGGCACCATGACAGAGAAGGCATGCTTCCTAGACCCACTAAGTGATATTGCCTCACTGAGGAGACCAGGAACATGCCCATTCTGCCAGATCTAGTGGGTCAAACAGAAACCATTAGGGAGAGCTAGTCCCTCAGTTATCTTGGCTCCATGCCATGTAGCACTTTAAAGGTGACAACCAGCCCCTTGAAGTACAAACAGAAATCTACTGGGAGCCAGTGCAGTTCATGTAGCCGTGTGTTATATGGGTGTACTATGGTGCATGCAATACTGCACATGCCACTGCATTCTGGGCCAGCTGATGCTTCTAAATACTTTTCAAGGTCGGCTCCATGTAGAGTGTGTTGCAACTGTCCATTCAGGAGGGTGACTAAGGTGACTATGAGCAGTGCCTCCCAATCCAGGAATGGGTGCAACTGGTATACAAAATGTATTTGTGTGAAGGCCCTCCTGGCCATAGCTGCCATTTGCTCCTCAGGTAGGAGCTGCAAGTCCAGGAAGACCCCAGACTGCACACGAACTCTGCCTGAGGGAACGTAACCCCATTCAGAGTTAACGATGGAAAATTGTCAGATATGGAGGGCTCTAAAATTCACAGTTACTCAGGGTTGTCAGGGTTGAGATGAAGCTGGTTCCTTCCCATCCAGACCTGCATAGCCTCTAGGCACTAGGAAAATGAAACCGCTTCAACAGCATCACTTGGACGGCCTGAGGCATAGATGTACAACTGAGTGTCCTCAGCATACTGATGAAACTTCATCCTGTGCTGAACCATACCTGGTGGCTTCATATTGATATTAAATAGGACCAGAGAGAGAGTCAGGCCCTGTGGCACCTGTCACCTCTTGGGAGGCTTTAACCAGCCAGGAGGGCATGGATCTAACACACAGGTAGCATCCCAAGGACCCTGTCCACTTCTTTGGAAGTAATTGGATCAAACTCAGTCCAGATAACTGGACAGCATAACTCCAAGCAGATCCAAGTGACTTTATCCATCAGATGCTGAGCGTAATTCTCACAATGACCCTGCAAGGGATCCCCCAACCCCACTTACCCAGAAGGGACTGAGTCACTCAAAACAGGGTCACTGGCCAGCTATCTGCAGACACAATAAGGGTGGAGAAATAAACACATTTCACCACCCTTATTGCCACAAGGTAGTCCTTAATGCAGGCTCTTACCTGTATTTAGTCGGTCTTGCTCTTTGTCTTTGAGTTTTCCTGCACATGATGTTAATTGCAAAGCATGCCCTGGGTGCTTTTTTGCCATACTGACTAATCACAATTAGTTGAAATTTCTATCTTGTCTCCCCAATTCACACTGGGTTAACAGGAGCAAAAGCAAGTATCATCATAAAACATGTGGATTTAAGATGGTATTTGCTGATGCAAACATTCAGTCTTCAAAACTATGAGCATCAATAATAGCAGCCTTGGGAAAAAGAATTATAAAACCAAATGAAATTATCTGTTAGCTATTTCAAAGGTTACAGCCTAGGAAATTGAATGTATTGATCTTGGCCTCCTTTTCTCAAAATGTGAAGAGAGAATATTTTATTCCTTTTATTTTTTCTTTACGTCCTACCTTCCCACCAAGAGCTCAAGGCGCCCTTCCCTCCCCTCTCCCTCTGTATCAATGCCATGATGTAGGCTGGGCTGAAAGTGGACGATTTACCTGAGTTTCCCTTACCTCAGTTCAACTTCTTAACCACTATACTGCATTTTGCTGTACATCAAGCCAAACCAGCCTTTCCCTGCCCACTGCTCTTCAGATATCTTGGACTTCAATTGCTATAATCCAATTATCTGCTGGACTGAATGATGACAGCTCTAGCCTAAAACATCTGGAAAGCACTGTTTGGGGATGCTTGAGTTAAGTTATTAGATGAAGTAAAAAGCAATGAAGAAGATGAAGTTAAGTATATACAATCTACCATTAATGCCTCAATATCTTCACTGTCTGGTGTCATTTTCTTTCCAGTCTTAAGCTTTGACCACTGAAGTCCGATAGCCCTGATATATTTTTATTTATATGGCTAGGTATTGATAAGTGGAATTTAACTAATACAATTCTTCTGACTGCTTTTCTCTGTATTCTATTAGTGTGTGCATGTGTGTGTATGAGAGAGAGAGATGTGCATTGTCATGGTTATCTATATAGTAGAAACTGTATTAAGTGATAAATTATAAGGCTGGGTCTACTAATTTGGGCAAGCCTTGGCTATTGGCCAAACAATATGCCTACCAATCTTGCAAAGGGAGGTTCAAGACTTAGGTATATAGGAATGGGATAGGGATACCTTGTCCTCCAGACTCTGAACTGGAAGGGTGGCATGATTTCCAGATACATAGGGCGTTGCCCGTTGAATTAAGTGCTCTTCACCCATTACTGAGGTGGCAAAAATTATACAAGCATTACATCTGCTGTCCTCCACTGCCAATCCATATCCTTTCTCAACTGCCTCTGTTTCAAATCACAACAGTCACCTAATTTCCCTCTAACCTAAAATAATTTATACATATCCTGGCTGCCCTTGGAAGGTGTCAGAACAAATGTTACTTGAACGCTAGTACAGTTAAGGACAATTGCTGTACAAGTGTATTCCTGCACTAGGAAAGGAGTTGGACCAGATGGTTTCAAAAGTCTCCTCCAACCCTTACACTCTGTGATTCTATGACTTAAGGCACTCTCTTTCATGGGCCAGGGATGAGATGAAGACAATGTCATGGGGACAGAAAAAAGATGTTGCTAGGAGAAGTTTGTGCCATCGTTAAGTGCAAGTGAGGAAAAGGCCGTTAGAGACCCTGAGAAAATAGAAGTCCTACTGCTTTCTAAATGAATCTGATTGGCATTAAAAAGACAGGTAGTCCTCGACTTACAACCACAATTGGGACTAGAATTTTCATTGCTAACTGATGTGGTCATAAAGCAAGACATCACATGACCATATCGCTTAGCAACGGCAATCCTGGCAATCCCCATTGCTGTTGTTAAACGAATTCCACCGGTCGTTAGCCAAGGACCCACCCCAATCCAAGCCATTCCAGGCTTGGTCCCTCCTAGCCTTCAGCCTCAGTAAGGTAAGGAACTGTCTCCAACTCTCCCCACCTGCATATCTCCCCCCACATCTCTGCCCTTTTGGCCGCCCTGTACCCTGCCTTGCGGGGCAGCAAGTAGCCCCAGAACTGTGTGGCTCTGGGGCTGCTTGGCATGCTGCGGCTCAGGGGCTTCTTGGCCCTCCTTTCCCCTTTGCTTGCTCGCACACACCAGTGCCCTCCTTCCCCCTTCACTCACTCGCACACACACACCATGCCCTGCAACTCACATTGGAAGCTGCTAGCTGTTTGTGAGGTTTTCTCCTTCCTCCTGCAAAGCCCTAGAGCTGCAGTGCAAAGGGGGCATGGTGCATGCAAGTAAGCAAATGGGGAAGGAGGGTGCTGGTGCATGTGAGCAAGCAAAGGAGGGTGCGGTGCGTGCGAGTGAAGGAGGGCACAGTGTTTGCATGCAAGCAAGACAAGGGGGGAGGAGGGTGTGCTGCATATGAGCGAAGAAAGGCCATGGTGGGTGGGGGAGACTTACCTGAGTGACTTGTGACCTTCCCTGCCAGCTTCCCCATTGACTTTGCTTGTGGGAAGCCAGCAGGGAAGGTTGCAAATGGCGATCACGTGATCGCTGGGTGCTTGGCAACCAGTCATAAGTGTGAACAGGTTGCCAAGCGTCCAGATCGCAATCACATGACCGGGGGAGGCGCTGCAATGGCCATAACTTCAGGGACCAGTCATAAGTCCATTTTTTCAGCACTGTTGTAACTTTGAACAGTCGCTGAACAAATGGTTGTAACTTGAGGACTATGTGTACTTCTCTTGAACAGGATTACAAGATGTCCTTGCTAATCAACAATGAACTTATGCATTTCTAGTTCCAAGACTGGAAGACACCCTGAAGTCTACATAATCAAGAGGCACCAAAGGAAATCCCTGAACACTGTTTTCCTAGTATTCCATTTTAATGGTAAAAGAATATGAAACAATATCTTGTGGATCTGGAATGACAGAACTGGATTCCAAAGAATACTTGGGCCACATTCACTTTCACTTAAGAAACCAAGCACTGTTTAGTTCCACTTTCCAGGAATCATGTTTCATGTTGGCAGAATGCCATGCCTAACATTAGGAAATATGAGGCTACCTGCCCCAGATGGGAAAATCTGTATATCTGATGAAAAGGCAGTTACAATATTTTTGTTTTTGCGGGTCGCCTGACACAGGAGGAAAGGGAGTCATTTACAAGCCAATATAAGAGAATATTAACAGTGCTTTCTTTTCTCCCAGAAGTTACTTTACATAATATCACTGGGTCCTCTCCTTAAGGAGGTATAAAATATTTTCTGATTAGCGGCTGCTTTACATCATAGTTGCCCTCTTCTCATATCCATTTCCATGCCTGGTAACCAACATGTTTCACATGTATGGAAAGAAATGGAACTGACAGCTCCCTAGGGAAGGAAACACAATGGGGGAGTAGAGTCTGAGGAAACAGGGCTACCCAGGGATGAAGAGAGAAGAGAACCAGGTTGTGCAAGTCAGCTCAAATGAGATTCTGGGATGTCTATTTGCCCACCCACTTATCAACTGTCCCAATTCATAGTGGCCCCTCTGAAGATGGTCCTTTTGTCAGGTCATCTAACTGGCAAACTAATAAAAATTCAAAAATATTTAAAAAGGGAGGAGTGGGAGGAGTAGATGTTAGCTCCCAACTTCTTTTTAAAAGCTAATCTGTTAAAACAAGAAAGGGACATTTTCCCTTCCTCTCTCCTTACCTGATCAGCAGCACTCTGGTCATCCGTAATGTCAAAAAGAACAGCCCGAGCTCCCCTCTCCCCTGCCAGTTTTGCCTGCAAAGAGAGGAAAAGGAAGAGTTCAAGAGAATATATGTGAATAACTGCATCGTTGTGACAGGGCAGCCCCTCTCACTCTTTGTTATCAACCTCAATGGCTAGGTTGGACGTTTATTCTGTGGTCCCCATCTGTGGGAAAAGAAGGCCTGTTTTTAATTGAGTTACCTGTGTCTTTCACAGGACCACCTGACTGGCAATTGGACAGCAGGCTACTGGACTTGGGAGACCCTCACTTCATAAAAAGTCAGCTCTTCACTTCTAAATGATGCATTCATTTATTCACCTATACATTTACAGAATACAATCTCAGTTTGGGAGAAGGGGGAAGAATATGTTTAGAGTTGTATAATGATATCACAATTCACAAGGAGGAAATTGCCACGAAGGAGTGTGTGAAATCGGGGGAGTTCTAGGTATCTTGGCATCTGTAAATTGCACTCCCAGCCTATCCAAGATGTTCAGATGTTTAGAACACTCAAACAGCTCTCTTCCTCCCTGAGCCTGGGAGATGTTCCCAGCAGACTGTGCCCACAATGAGCCAAAGCAATGCACCGCCTACTTGCCACACTCATGGACACTCAAAATGGAACTTGACTGGCACAACCAGCTCCCTGCAGCATCTCATCTGAATCCTTGGTAGGTGCTCTCTATTTGAAGTAGGAGAGGTCCGGTACCTCCATTTATTTAAAATAGGCATATATCAGCTGTCATACTATGTATCTCTAGGCAGTGTGCAACTTTAAAACATCTTTTATCCAGCTTAAAAAGAGAAATGTAACAATATGTTAAAATACAGAAACCACATAAATCAGTGGCCATGAGTAGCGGAGCAGTATCATGAGATGCAAATGTTAAAATGAGTCAGCATGCTTTCAGAGTAGGTCCAGACTATAATTAGGACTTAGGGATGGGCCACAACACTGGCGCATTGAGACCTGCTTTTTGCTTCAGTCCTTGGCATCTCCCATTAAAGACTCTCTTAAACTAGAACTGGAGGAAAGGCCTATTGCACTGAAAGGACAGCCTCTCTCCAGCCTTTCATCTGCTGCAAAGGCAAGAACTGCATCAAATCCGAGGTAACCAAGAAAGTGATCTGTGACTTGTGGGTGTGCGTCTGTGAGTATGTAACATAGAAACCTGGCTCCCAAGAAGTATCTTCTCCTTACTACACACACAGATACTGATTCCTGGGTTCAGCCCTAAAGAGAGGAATGCCGCAGCCGCGAACAAAAGGCAAGCCCGCTCTGGGTCAGCAAGGTGTGATCCTGCCTCTCTGTGGAAAAGCTCAGGAGCCATCCAGGACTTTGACTTCCCACTGCCCTCCTCTCCAGCCCAGCCCAGCCCAGCCCTGCTTGGAGGAACAAAGCTCTCCTCTGTTCCTGTCCCACACTGAAAGCACCTCTTCCACCCAAGCACCACAGCGCACACGCCTGCTCCCACATCTCTTTGGTCTACCTTAAATTCCCTTCCCCACCCCTTCCGCCCTGGCTAGCTGGCTCACCTGCCTCCCTCCCCCACATCCTATTGGCACTGGATCCCTGCCAGGCCCAGCAGGCCCCAAAGCCACCCGCTGGCTCTGCTTCAAAGCCTAGGATGTGAACCGCAGCCCAGCCTCACCAAAGCCTGGGGCTGTATGAGCCATTCAGCCGGGGCTTTTCGCCAGTTCTGAGCTTTAGTGCGGGCAGCCTTCAGGCATGCACATGAAAAAGGCAAACAAAGGGGCAGTGGGCACTGCTGGGCTCAGCCTCTCCCTGAAGCAGGAATTTGGGAATTAGTCCCTCAGAAGATCTAACCCGTCCTTTAAGATCTGATAGTTGGAGGTGAGCAAAGGACACAGGCAGACACTTGAAAGCACTCCATTTTCTTATCACTCTAAGATCTTGGGTTGAGCCCTAGCAGGTTCTAGAGTTAACATATCCATGGGGAAAGCAGTACCAACATCAGGGCACTCCGTGTATGTTAAAGGCTTAAATGAAGCAGGCACGGTTCATGTATGCTCAGAATATACAGGGAACAGGCACACTCTCCAGGTGCATTAAGAGCACCTACCTATTTGAGTAACTGGATGGTATAAACAGGGAATGCTCTGCATTTTTCTTCCTCACAGGACATGTGATGACTCTCCTTTCTCTTCTTCCTAGTACCCTGACGGATAGGTTTAATGCTAAAGGCAGTATTTAATCTACACTGCCCTGCAGATGGAATGGTTGAGTTGGGATAGGAAGGCCAAAGCATAGCGACTCAGCCTTTCTGCAAAGGAACGCTGCCAGAATGGGCCTCTCCTGAGCCAAGCCTACATAATAGTGACTCCTTGGCTCTTTTTGCTTCCCCCTTCCCTTCTCTGTAAATTCATCCCCCGTTTGCAATTATACACAACCACTGCAAGACCAACTTCTTTCAGGTCCTCTGGAGTCACGATTGCCAATGTCTTTCTCCCTCCTTCCTCACCCAATTCCCAGAAACTCACTGGCTATCAGGATTGGTGCAATGCCAGAAAATATACCTTTGATGATTTTGCAACCTGTTCCTTTGGGAGGTGACATTTTTCATGTTGGTACAAAAGCTGTGCGCTATCAAAATCATGTCTCCAGAATCCCTTGCAATGTTGCTCAGAATCCAGAGACATATCACTTGACAACTGAGGTAGCAAATAGTCTCTGCTGGCCTTGATCTTTGCAACCATCCTTACACTAATCAGAAAGTGGGTAACCCTTAGGCCACAAACAGCCCACAGCCCCCTTCTGTGGTCTGAAACTCCATAAGACCCTATGCAATGGCAAACCACCAAATCACAGGAGGGCAGTTAAAAAAAAAAGAAAATAATCAAATAGGTGCATTAAAATCCAATAAGCTCAATGTTATCTTAGTAAACCCCATCCCAAAAACCTAGGAAAAAAGGGGCTGAACATTGTAGCCCTAGACCTTTTGGTGACATCCATACGTTACTGTCTTGCAAATGCCCTGAGCACAGGCAAAGGCCCTCTGCTACAATCTTATCCACAATCCATTTCTTGGCTTGTTTGTTTGCTGGCCTCTCTTCCCCCCAACCCGCCCCCAACTTCCACCTGTAGGTAATTTGGATTGTACATGTTTTGTGAATGCTAAACCTCAAAAATCAACTGCCTATTCAAAAGCTATTCCATACTGCCCAAGGGAAAGCTCAGTTCCTCCAAATCAAATTAAATTTATTCTGCCTTCCATTTTAAAAAATATATTAAAAAAAAAGAGTCGTGGGAGGTAGCTCTTGAGGGATATAGTGAATAATGCTTCAAAAGGTCCCGTTATCAAAAGTGAAACAGTATCCTCTTAATTTCTAAATATAGCACAACCTACCCCAACTTGGTACCTTCTAAATCTATTGAATTTTGTATGCCATAATCTCCAAACAACCTGGAGGCTGACTGAGTTGAAAGCCAATACAGTTGGAACACGCTCATTTGGGGATAGCTGTGATGACATACAGATGCTAAGGCTCAGTCCCAAAATATCCATTACTCTATTAATGCATATTATGACCACCTAACAACTGCTTCTGTTATTCAAATGTTAATATAACCAAATGACTGACATTCTTCATCACTTCTTGATCTTTTGGCTAATATCAACTGTAGTATGCATACTATTTAAACAAGCCACTATACTATTAGATTTGTAACCACCTATCATCCATGCAATTTAAGACGGCTTAGAACAGGTTCCTAGAGTTGATCTGAACATGTTCATCAGAGCTTAATCTATGAAACCCAGGCCACATATGACCTTCTAAAGTTTTGTATGGTGTTCCTCCAAAATCTATCATCAAATACTAAATATTTGAGCTATGCATGCTTTGAAAATGATTCAGAAGAAGTAATTCACACCTCACATGAACATAGCACTCTTCTGCTAATCATTAATGTGTATAAGCTTTTCTTCAGGTTTTCTGTAAGATGCTGCTGTTTTAAAGAGTCAAATCATTAAAGCAGTGCACATTTAATGAAGCTCTTAAAGCAGTGGCATCTTTTTTCAGACTCATACTTTGAAAAGAGATGTGTGAGCTTTAATGAACATCAGAGAAGAGCTGCCCTTGCACAAGATCTGAAGCACTTCTGCCAAATTATTTTTGAAGCATGCATTGCTAACCCTAACCCTAACCCTAAATGTATAGTGTGAAATTGCACTAACTCTATCTAATTAAGACATATTTAAATTAAATCCAATATCATTTCTATCCTAGTCCTATTCTTGTTTTGGAGTGCAGTCCCCAGCACATCATTCAAAGGCCAAGTGTAAGTTCAGCCCCCAAATTTGCATTTATTTATTTATTTATTTATCTATTTATTTATTTTCTCCCCCGCCCATCTCCCGCAAATGGGGGACCCTGGGCGACTCACACAAAACATTAAAACCATAAATATATATAAATACATAAAACATCAAAATTAAAAAAAACATTACTAAAAAAAGGAAAAGGGTTATCCCTGCTGTTGAGTATCATGTGCTTTTGGGATATCACTTTGGAATAACTGTTACTCTCCATGTTTGCTCCACTGAAGCAGTTCAGAGCTAGACTGATAATTACAAACTGAGAAATGAAAAAGTGTCACGGCAAGAATATAGAGATTATAAGAAAAGCTCTAACTGGACCTGCTGTAAAACTCATCTAGTCCAGTATTCCTATTTCCGACAGCAGCCAACCAATTGGGTCCCTCCCTTCCCCCACCCCTGCCCCAAAAGGAAAACCACTAGCAAGGATCTTCTAGTTGTTTTCTCTCAAAATCTGCTACTCTGGAGTATGTTGCCTCTGAAGATAGAATCCCCATTGATAATTCTTATGGGTAAGAAAAAAAAAAGCTCCTTCTAGATGAGACCAAAGATCCATTTAGCCTAGCACTGGCCAGTTCAAATCTCTCCAAACTGGGCAAGAAGGTTAAAAGTGTCTTCTCCAAAGGCCTGAGGCCCTGGGATTAGAAGGGCACAATCAGGCCTTTGGAGTACACCACCAGTCCCTTTACTGGTAAGGGGGGAGGATTTGCTACTATCACTATAGTTCCTAGCACCTCTAACACTGAAGAGTCAGTCGTGGACAATTCTGGCACAGAAATGGTTAACACCTGCCTCCTTAGGAAGGAAGGAAAAGAGGAAGTCTGATGAGCAAAGTGCAGAGGCTGGAACGCTCTCAGCAGCTGCCTTTGATCTCAGCGTCCTTGGAAAGCGTGTGTGAGCAGGTATCCGCCAGAATTGCTCCAGCAGGCTGGCTTGCAATTGTCGAACCTGCCTGGAACAGGGAGGTCAGAGGTTAGCGGCACAACTTCTCAGCTGTAAGATCAAAGGCACTGCAGATCTCAGGCTCCAGGGTTGCCCTGGGAGGTTGGGAATTGAGAGAGCTTAAGCTTTGCTGTAAAGGTGCTCTCAAACTGGGAGACGGGTTATGCTTTCCTAAACATTTTCTACCATTTCATCTGTAATTATAAATTTGCATGTGTGTATGCACATTTGGGATGAATTCATTTCACCCAAAATGAATTTATCTTAATAGAATCTAAAAGACAAAATGATAAAAATCTTAATATTCAACAGTGGCCCTGTCTCTTAAAAATTAGAAGTCTTGTTCATGCTTTGTCTTTTCCCAATGGAAAAGAGAAAGTTGTGTTCTGAACAGTACAATGGAAGAAGAGTGTAAGGAAAGGAAATTAGGGCATATGAGTGACTGTAGCTCTGCCCATTTAGTTTGGGCCTCACTTATATTGAATATAAAGACATTCAGGAACTTAATTTTCAATCTAATCAACCAAGGAGCTGATCAAAAAGCTTTGTGAAGGAAAGGAGATTTACTCTCTGAGTACATATACCTTATTGGCCAATGACAAGCATGGCCGGAGATCCCGCTCAGGCCTTTCCAGTTTGACAATGGAGACAAATCCTGGGACTGTATGTTCATCCTCGCTGGTATTACACAAAGATAGGGGATGGAACTGTGAACAGAAAGGAAGGGAAGTTACTACTGATATGTAATACAGAAGGTTATATTGCATTATTATGTGAGGATGGACTGTGGATCAACACTTGATGTGCAACCAAGTGTGCAGGGTGAAGTGCTTCAGTACCTTTGTCAGTTTCAGATAAATATTTACCTACTGAGCTTAGGCATTCTTCCATTTCTTATACACGAACTTAATAAAAATGTTAAAATGTCATTCTGGATGATCCAAAAGAGCTAGCCAACTCATAATTCAGCACAATTCACAACCTATCCAATTGGTGCCCTTCAGATAAGGT